ACTTTGATGATGTCTTTATTTGCTTTCAAGGACAATATATCGTGTATACATTTTCAATGGAGGGAAAGAAATCTCTCGGACTAAATCTAAAATATCTTAAACTGTGTTCCGAAGATGAACGGAGGTCTTACGGGCTTGGGACGACATGAGGGTGAGTCATTTATGACATAATTTTCATTTTTGGGTGAACTAACACTTTAACTGAGGTAAATGCTGCACAATGGTATCGCACTTTACAATGTTGGACACATAACGGTAATTAATATGATTAGCCTTTTGCTTGACTGTGTTATCAAACACCTAATAATGTGTTGCTAATGTTACACAAACCATGTTCCCGTTCGCCATCTCAGAGTCAGGCAGCTGCCTACTAACAATCAGCATCCTTAACAATGCTTTGAACAACTCAGAACGTCAGCGGAGAAAGGCATATAGTTAATCATAACATCAGATACATAATTCACCTGTAATATTTCTAAATATTGCCGATTTTTTATATCAACAGAAAAATATACCGGGATAACCTGGCTTCTCTTGAGACTCCCCTGCTTCACAGCATAGTTAATGATTTGCTAAAGTATTTTGGCGTGATTGGTTACAAAATAGTCTGTGACGTCAGAAACACCAGTGATTTCGAGACTGTCTTTAGATCACTGAAGTTTAAAGAGAAAATACTCAGCAATGGTGTTGACTTATGAATGTGCACATGGTTTGTCGTAAAGCATATTAAAAACACCACATAACACCACATAGACATATTTACAACATTAAAAACTGCATTTACACAACAGGGGGTCTTTGTAAACTGTGTTGCAGTATCAAACAAGGAGAGCTCATAAAACAATAAGCACTGGTAAAATGTCCACAATAAGATAAAGAAATATTATTTATATGTTGCATGGGAATGCTAGCTTTCTCCTTGTATTGTATGTTCCTGTGCCTTGTGCCTTGTACCTTGTATTGTATCACCTTGGTGATAAGTGACTTGAAGGTGATCAAATGAAACTTTGCCCCCATAGTGCCACCTAGAGTTCTTTTCTTGACATATCCATTCATATTTTAACAGCAGATTACACAATGAAGGTGTTTTGTGTGAAAGTGTGTGTTTCTTTCTCTTATTCTTTAAAATAACTACTAATAATGCAAATGAACACACACACACAGACACACACACAGTTGTTTCCCAAAAGTTCCTTGGTTAAAAGAAGTTCCTTAGAAGTTGCAGTTTCTATATGATGTAATACTGTTCTCTTCAGACATGAGTCTACTTCCTGTAAGCACAGATTTCCTTCTTTGTTTTTTTAATTCAAGCCAAGCTGAGGCATATTACCAGGAAACTTCTTTATTACAGTATTAGCATATTGTCCTGATAAGGAGAGACGCTTTCTCATTTGGGATGGGGAAACCGTCTTTAATGGGACTTTTTTTTCTTATACCCGAAAAGTTGTGTAAAGTCATGCAGCACTTACAAGAGGTTCCAGGGCCATTTCACAGCGATTAATGCTGATGGAGGTCTAATGTGGTGCAATATTGTTTTGCAGTGTGTCCTTTAATGTTCTTCAGAAACTTAAGCAATGGGCTGTGATGTTGCAGCGTTAGTGTGTGTGTAATCCAGAGGGAATTATGCAGCCTTTGTCCTTCATGCTAGGGCTGCACAATTTACTCTTCAGCAGGCTTAAATGGACTACAATTCCCATGGGATGTCCACAGGATACTGCATCCTCTCTATACTTTAATATTCATCCCAGTCAGCCGGTTGAAGACCATCAAATTCCAATAGATTGATTTAATAATGTACAGAAACATGATTGATAATCCTGAATCTCTATAACATTTGTGTGTTGTTGCAGGTGGAAAACTCCCTGCCACAATTATGGTTTGTTGGGTTTTCACAAGTTCAGTTTGATGTCTCGTTTCTCTTCAGACCTCAACCTCAGGCTGATCCCAGGACTGCGGCTCACTCTACAGCATGTACGACTAAGCATGCTCTACCACCACCCAGGTAAAAGCTGTTGGATGGGCTGGAGACACACACACACACACAAAAAAAAAAGAATAAAAGTAATTAAATGGAGAATAAGTACCACAGACTTGCCTAGCAACCAGTCTTTGCTCAATGAAGTCAAAAGAGTTGACCCCATACTGTGCTTAAAACTCAACTGAAATGAGTTGAGATTGTTGCAGAAATCATCTACATTGTGACCTTATAATCGTTCCCTGAAAGCCAGTTTCCCTGCAATTTCTATCCGGATGCAGTAAATGTGATCATTGTGTGTGTGTGTGTGTGTGTGTGTGTATGTTTTGAAGGCTTTAAACTGCCCTATAGTGACAGTTTAGTCTTTCGTGAAGCACTGGATAAAAGATGAGCTTATTATAATTTGCTCTTTTATTCCATGTCTAAATGGATTTAAGGATCCGCTTACTGCACATTAAATTAACAAATTCCCTTTTGGATCCCAAAGAAAACAAAGGAAAGGAGAAAGCATGTATGTTATTCATAAAGCATAAGTATGTTATTCTGGTAAATCTATCAACTCTCTCCCGTGTACACTGGATCAGTCACATGGAGAAAAGTGGTGTACATGCATCCCTCACACAGAGACAGTATGAAACTTTTTACACCAGATTAAGTTTTCAGATGAGTTTGTTTCCTGTCATTTTCAGCCTAGCTGAGTAATATATGCTTGCGCACTAATTGCCAAACCAGTTTGTGTAAACAGTGAATCAGTCTGTGAATTACCAAACAGCTGAGGTCAACTTTAACCCTGGTTTGAGTAATTCTGTAATGTGGCTAGTTTTAGTGCTTCCCTTGAAGGTTGATTACAGAGCAGCATGTTGCCTGATGTGATATTGAACGTCATTAGCGTTTAGCTGATCTGGGAGCTATGTTGGCCGTCAGCCTAAAAGCGTTCTTTTTATATACAGCAAAGAAACCCAGTAGCCCAGCTCAAATCTCTGCATGCCCTAAAACGCTGAAGAAAACAAGCAAACGTCGCGTGTGTTTGGTTGAGGCACTTGACAATCAAAGTCACTGATTATGTCAAAGTATATCGTTGTATTCCAAGTCTTCTGAAGTCACGTACCAACCCGAAATATCCATATTTGCTGAAGGTTTTCCCTTTCACCATTCACACACATTCAAATTGCTTTGGATAAATGAATATGTTTTGAAAATGTTGCTTTTTTATTCAGGGAATAAATGTAAAATCATCGTAATGCGTCGTGCATTGTATCAGGATTGATGTCAGTGAAGCCAAACAGCATTGTTGTGTTTTCACAAGCAATTGTGACAGACTGAGTTAATGATACAGAAGTGCAAATGATATTAAAGTCGCCATAAAATGGAAATCCACCCTGTTTTATAAATGCATGTTATTGATCAAAACGTTTTCCATCCATGCATATGTTTAATTGTTTTGACCTCATAATTTGTAATCAAAATATCTTGATTTCTCTATGGTGACGTACAGACTTCTCCAGTCATTTCATCTGCAATAACATATATATGCAATAACGTTTCTTAAAATCGACTGCATTCGGATCTGCCTTCATCCAATTAACAACTAATGGACAGAACCAAGTTTCCTACCTATATATATATTTTTATTTTTCCATAATTCGTTTCACTCGGATGTACAAGACACAATCTATCGCTACTTCTGTTTCATCGCAACTTTAAATTAAACAGAAAATATTCCAGCCTGTTCCCCACACAAAGGTATCATATGGCTTCATTTTGGGTTGCATTTAACACAGATGCCGCTGCCACTCTGAGTGAAAAATGAGAGAAAAACCAGAGGTGCTGTGGCACACATAGTGATATGACCAGATGGAGTGATACATGGCTCACTGGAGCATGTTTCCAGGATTGTGATGGGACAGCAACAGGCGGATGGGTTTCTGTGATGCTGAATATACATGCTTGAAGACAAATTATATTTATTTCTGTTTTGTCTGAAGTGCTATACTATTCAACCTCTTGTTCATGCTCCCCCCCCCCCCCCCCCCCCCCCCCCCCCCATAAAATAATTGTGTATGTGCCTTTAGGTCATTCTATTAATTTGGACTCATGCCACTATCTGTACCCCTCCTGGGATTTCATCCCTCGTTTTTGCTAGTCATTCTTCCCCACTCAGCAGCTTTTGGTGTTTTTGTGCATGTTCCAGTTTATTAATCCTTGTGTTTCATCTTTACCTCAAAACATAATTTTCCTCAGGGTTTGCTCAGAGGCTTCTGCATTGTTCTTTCATTTCTCAGAAGATTTAATTTTCAGTTGTTCCCATTTAAGTATCAACTTTTCCTCCTAAAATGACTTAGATTACACAATAAGAATGTAAAAAATGTGTTGAAATAAAGAAAAAGAATGTGTTGTTAAAAAAGTGGTAGTTCTGTAGTATCAAATTATTAATTAATGCAGTCATTTAGTCATTTATTTGGTTATTTGTTCATTCTGTCATTTCATTCATACACTGGTTGATTAATTTGCTTGTTCGTTCATTTGTTCATGTAACAGTTCATTAATTCATCCATTTGGTCTTTAGATCATTTGTTTATTTGGGTGATTTATTCTTTTTTTTTATTTGCTCGTTCACTCCTTTATTTATTAGGGAATTTGTTCATTCCTTAATTTGATCATTAAGTCATTTGTTTGTTCAGGTCATTTATTACTGTAGGTAATTTGTTCATTCGCTTATTAATTCATTCATTAGGTCATTTATTTATTAATTAATTTGCTCATTTGTTTATTCTGGTCATTCATTTGGTCATTTGTTCATTCGGTCATTCATTGATTCAGTCATTCATTCATTCACTGATTCTCACTTCTTTTCTTACGGCATCACGCTGTCCCTCCTATCCGACTTAAGCCCTCCTCTCTCTCTCTCTCTCTCTCTCTCTCTCTCTCTCTCTCTCTCTCTCTCTCTCTCTCTCTCTCTCTCTCTCTCTCTCTCTCTCTCTCTCTCTCTCTCTCTCTCTCTCTCCCTCACTCACATTCTCTGTCCGTTTATCTTCCTCTACACTCTCTCTCCCCTTCATCTCACCTCCAACTAGTCAGTGTTCTGTCTCTCTGTCCTGCTCTGTCTCTCTCTCTCTTTTTCCCTCTCTGTCTGTCTCATTCTCTCTCTCTTTTTGGTGTGCTCAAGCTCCAGTTTGGTTTACTGTCTGTCTGTGCGTTGCCGGTCTCGTTCCTCTGCGGACCTGAACCTCCAGCTGAACCTGGGACTCCAGCTCACTCTACAGCAG